TAAAAAAAAAAATAAATAAATAAATAAATAAAAATCCCCTTGCCATTTCCAATTATCGGAACTCGACTGTAACTGCTTCCACGGGCTCCAATCATGCAATGCCAATTGCTGCATCGATTCAGGTTGTCGCACTGATCTGGAATATACATATGTATATGCATAAGTATATGAAATACGATGATACGAGATACGATATGATGATACGATCTCTATTCCTTCCTCTCCTGCTTATACTCTCTGTCTTCAGACAGACATATAATTGCTAAAAATAGTCTCAAGCTCAACAAGTAAGAAAGTTCTAGTCGAGACTGCTCGACTACGAGATCCCCTGAATCCTTCGAGCAACTGATATTTCAATAATTATTCGCACGCATAAACATGCATTGGCTGCAGTGCACTGCTGTTAATAGTGTGTAACGGGGAGAAGGAAGCGTGGCAGACCCCACAAGGTACATATATTCTTGATCAGGGCTACGAGCTGAGTCGATTTAGCCCTGTCTGTCTATCTGTCTGTCTGTCCGTCCATCAGTCCATATGTATGAACGTGTTGATCTCAAAAGATATAAGATAAAAGATATAAAAGACATGAGATTTTTTTTCCTTGGACGATAGCTACTCCCGATATTTTGTTATCGATAAAGAACCTAATCAAAAATAAGTTATTTAATTATATCTCTTACGCTTTTAGAGTCTCCAAGTTTTAAATGTTGACTGCTGATATGTATTTATATATGTGTGAAGGGTAAATTATATAAAAATGAAAATTCTATATATTTCCATTTTTGTTATAATTTACCCCCGCCCTTCTAATTTTAAAAGACGTATTTCAAATTCACACAGTTAAGTAATATAATCACGATCTAAAAGTTTCGTGAAGAAAGTCCATCTACAAGAAAAGTTATTAAGCAGTTCCCATAGTTCCCATAGTAAACCCATAGTAAACTGCAGCGTGCGCTTCTATGAGCGTGTTTTTGCGTGTGTTTCGTATGTAAGCAAACAGACGCGAAAAATTATTGAAATATCAATTCCTCGAAGGGTTCGATTCTATTGGGCTATATGTTTATACTTATTCACGAAAGTGAATTAGTATATTGGTTTTGCGCAATGTCCGTTTTGCTGTCCGTCCGTCTGTCCGTATGAACGCAGTTTATTTCGGTGCTATTGAAGCTAGAGACTTGAAATTTGGAACACATACTTGTGCATATCTCCGAATTATAAAGTGTTAAAATTTTTTCGATTCGCCCACTAGGGACGTTATGAACGGAAAATGCATTTTCCGATATGCCAGGAATCATATTAGTTGAACAGCTAGAAAGCTGAAATTTAGAATGTAGATCTGCGTCGACCACCCAAGCTCACGAGCTATGGCGGATATATCTACGCCCCTTGGGGGCGTGGCAAATCGGATGAAACTGTATATACATATATTATATGTTTATATATTTTGGCTACTATTCATGATAGAGACCTCAAATATACATATATACTCGGGATAACCAACCAAGACCAAAAAGCTTCGACGGATATATGTCCGCCCACAGGGGGCGTAGTAAGCCGCAAAAGTTTATATCTCCTAAAGTATAATAGCTAGAAGCTTAAAACTTGGGTAGTTAAGTTACTACCTCCTTTATCGATGAGCCGACAATAATTTTTACGCCTCTTTAGGGGCGTGGCATATCGAAAATTTCCATGTAATTTTCACAATTTTTGAGCGTAAGCATTTAAATGTTGCAGTTGGGGTACTGTTAGCTCGTTTTGAGAAAAATTAGGTCTCTACACCCAGTAGGGGCGTGGCAAATAGGGAAAAACTGAATTTCAACAGTATTAGAGCTAAACTTAGCTACTAAATTGCTGATGGGATGTGAATGAGTATTCCGCAGTCAGTAACGCCCGACTGCAACATTCTTACTTGTTTCATCTGGTGATCCTAATCAGCATAAGAATACACATTATATTTTCGCCATAACTCTAGCAAACTATTATTTACACCCGAAACAAAAGTTTGTAATGAAAAAACTGCCGCGCTCGCCTAGAGGGTATCTATCAGCCGACCCCTTGGCTGACTTAATTCCCTTACTGTCAATGCCATGCACAATGGGCATCTATTACAATGCTTTTATATGTATGCTAGTACAGAGATATCTGTATGCATATATCAGAAGATAACTGTCGCAGTAATGTAATGTAGTCTATTTGCGTCAAATATGTGTAAGCCAAAAATACTCGGACATTATACGGTATACAATGGGAAAAATTGTTCGCATATTCATGACCGAATTACCCACATTCAGTGAGAGTCAGACACACAATGAGAGATAGATAGAGAAAAAGAGATAGAAACTATAGAGAGGGGGGAAAGGAAGGAGGAATACACTTCAGTCACCATTTGTGGACAGCATAACAAACAAAACCATTGAAAGGCACGCAAATCTCAGCTATGACCAAAATATTTGCCAAAGTTCGTGGAAAACACACAAAAAAAAAAAACAACCCAGGAAAAGCGAGAGAGCGAGAGGTAGATTGAGATGGAGAGAGGCAGTTCAACTGTTATTAAGCTAAAGCTTTGCCAAGAAATCAAATAGGCCTGGATGCAACTGAGAGCCGAGTCCAAAGCTAGTCAGGCAATCAAACAGATCGCCACATGGCAAGGCGGCAAGTGGAGTGGAGGTTATGGAGGTCTTTTCACTCTCACTAGAATTAATGTCATCCCCATCGGCTGTGTCAATGAAACACAGCCATGCCATCGACGCCCCTCAAACCGCGCCCTAAATCGTTCAATTGTAAGCTACTCATATGGCGCTTGAATCAACTCATCTCGTCTCTTCCGCCACACTACATACATACGGTATATGTATGTATATATGACATCTTTCATGTCGAGCTCTAACCCAATAAGCACAAAGAGAAGAAACCAAAGTGCATATATAAATATGTATGCAAGTAGTATATATAATATATACTTATATACATACATATGTATATGTTTGCTGGTATTATTTGGACACAAATATTTGCCAAGCGTAAAGTAATAAAATATTTCTTTTGTCAATAAATGCAATTGAATGTGAAAAGAGGCAGCTAGTCCAAAAATAAATTAAGAAGAAAACGAAAATACCATGCGCTACTAGATACCCTATAGAATTCATGTATATTATGTAGTGTAGGGCTTTGCATCTGTTTTCTTTTTTTATCCGCAAAACTTGAAATAGAAATAGGCACACAAATGTATAATATATAAAAATAAATATAAAGAATTTTTAAATATACATATATGTATGTATATGTAGTATTCTTTATACATTTTACACATAATTTGTCGAGTTGTGTGCTGCATGCATACACATACATTTGTATTCAACTCAACTCAACCAGCTACCAAAAGGCTTCATCTCTATTGCCATTTGTTGACGTTAGAGCGCAATAAAAATGTTATGTCAAAGGATAAATAAATGCTCGGCGCTGCCCAAAAGGAAAAAACTAACCGACCACGACATACCCACAACATTCGTCACCATCTGCGCATTAAAGACTTTACTATGCGAGTACACTTTATGTATAATTTTTGTTCTAGACGGACTTCCCAAATCGAATTGTAGGCAAGCTATACATGAAAAATTCCTATATTCAATGCGTTCGGGATATTAAAGCTACTAAAATACTCTACAATATATGATCCACTGGATCTACAATGATTTAATTAGACAGCCGTCTGAACTATTGCATGGTTTGAAATACTCTTGGGATATATACCCGTGTATACACTCATTTAATAAAGACTTTCCTGATACGCCTAGGGGCGTCGTAGATCGGAAAATATATTTGCTACGGGCTACAAATCCCAAATTTAACACGTGAGTTACAGTTACGGTCTTATAAAGATCGATTTAACAGTGTGAGTGGCAAATCTGATTTGCCTATATAGTGATTCATATACCCACAAATTTTGGTAAACCGCAAAAATATATTTTTGAGCATAAGCTTCCAAGTTTTGTTACCATAGACGTCTATTGAGAATTGGTCAAATGTGGCATGTCTAAGAAAATAGTGTTATATAAATTTAAAAAGCTTTTGTGTATTATCGGATCACTCAAACATATCTCTGACAATTCCATCAAAGAATGTCTCATGCTAGACATATTTATTTCTACGTTCATATCACCCATATTTTATGTACACTTCCATAGAGAAAGTCCAGACATTTGTATCGCAAAAAGTATCAACATGAGCATTCGTCACTATATAGACAAGTTTTTGTTGTTGTCGTGGCGACTGCATAGGATTCAGTGGAATCGGCCGATGGAGCTAATCTGGGTGGTATTCGCCCCCTTCGCGCTATGCTGCATCGCGGTCATCATGCGGCTGACGTCTAACATGTCCGAGCGCTTCAACAGTTTCTACGACCCAATTGATCTAGCCCAAAGCTGGTCCGATTTGATGGAGACGCTAACGATTCGCCAACAGATTACCCTCCAACATAATAGGAGCAACAATGTCTTTACTCCGAAGCTGGTGCTGGGCTGGGCGCCCGACGATTACAACATATTTGAGAAGATCATGGAGCTCTCCTTGCGCAAACTGAAATTGATCGAGCTACGCAGTTATACCAGGTGCTCCGAAATGAAGGCAGCTATGCAGAACGAGTTTCTGTTCGCGGGCATTTGCTTTGATCAAGGCCAGTTCGAGAAGAAATATATATTCATTGACGATTTCCTGGGCAAAGACGAGCAGGTACTTCCGCACATCAACTACTCAATTTTGTATCCAAGCGAGCTGCGCATGTTTCATAGCACGTACATTGGCGATAACTGGAAGACAATCCATCACGACGATCCCAAAATGTCTGTATTACGACGCTTGAACGACGACAGCATAGATGGCCACTGCTCTTATGTCCGCGAAGGCTTTGCCTTCATCCAAATGGCCATAACTGAAACGTATCTAGTGATCATGAGCAGATCGAGCATACCAAAGATTGTGCTGCGACGCTTTCCGGTCAATGGACGCATCATTGACCCGCAAATGACTCGCATAAATCACTCTATACCCATTCTACTTATTTTCGGCTTTTTGTTTCCGTCACAAGTCCTTGTCTGCGTAGGTACCGACTTATATATATATATACCGCTGCACAACCTATAACCTAATGATAACAATAATATTTATACAACTATCCATGCAGCAAGTCGTCCAAGAGAAACAACGCCAGATGCGTCTGTTCCTAATCAATATGAACATTGGCAACATCATACACTTTGTATGCTGGTACTGCAAAGGACTCGTCTATATGCTGATCAGCTCAATTCTTATTATGGGCGTCGTTAAGGTACGTAGATCACACAATAAAAATGGGAAATCAGTTTTGTTAAATGCATATAACTTGCAAAAGGAGGCGGGGGAGATCTCAAAAAGTATTTGTATATATTCTTGATCAGAATTACGAGCTGACTCGATTTAGCACTATCCGTCTTTCTGGGCGTCTGCATGTTTACAAGCCTCAATCTAAGAAACTTTAGAACTAGAGACTTAACATTTTTTTAGCTATAACTACTCCCGTTCTAGACCATTTACAATAAGTAGAATATCATAACTTGGGTTCAGGGTATCTCCTAGTCGAGCAGTCTTGACTGGAGCCTTCTTACTTGTTTTGTTATAATGTTACAAAAAGAAACGAAGAATTATAGAAATATCAGTTACTCGAAGGGTCTACTTATTTTGCTTTAACTTAACCTGAAGATCTTACGAGATTCAACAAATTTGGTATATTTTTGTGATGAATCCGCAAACTATGATCACTTCCGCTTTCACTCTGTGACGTCAATATTAAGGAACCAAATATGACTGGCAAAGCAGCTTTGTACAGTTTTCCTAGTACAGTCGAAGGCACCCGCACAGTGTTTTTATTTGTTATACGTTTATCGGTAATCATGTTATTTTGCCCGTTCAGCTAGAGACTGACCCCTCTGCTATTTGATGAGCGGAGTAAGCCTGATGTCAGAGTGGCCGCGATAAGCGATGCGATAATATGGAGCGACATTAAGCGAGAAAGCTCTACATTAAGCGAGAAGAGAGCCAAAGCGACATGTAAAGCGAGTTGCGAGAAAGCATTTTTGAAATGCTTTCTCGCTTTATAAAGCTTTTCGCGTAATAAAGCTTTTCTTATACGTGTGTTTTCGTTGCGTGTTTAGCTTAAATAACCGTTGGTTAGTAGGTGAAATATATTCATTTTGGCAATTCAAGCAATATTTCTCTCTTTCACTCTGACATGGCATGGCTTTGCAAATCGCTACGATAATTCTCGCTTATAGCATCGCATCCGCTTATCGCGGCCACTCTGACATCAGCCTTAGTTGTAATATCGATAAATATCGATTCGTTTAGAGTGTGAGCATACGCCTATTCTATCGATCTCAATCCAAAATCTAATCTAAAGTCTCGTCTACTGTGTAATTCAATGACAAAAGGTGCCTTGGAATGCTACGGAAACCATATTCAAGCAAACACCATGGTATATTATATTACTGGTGCTCGTCACGTATAATGTAGCAGCAACTAGTTTCTGTCTATTGATTGCCTCGTTCTTCAAGAACAGCGCAGTGGCGCTGCGGGTAGTGACCGTAGTCTGGATAATCACGTATTTGCCATTCTTTGTGATATACAACAACCGGGAAAAGATTGACGCAACAATTACATATATATCCTGTGCGTTCCCCAACACTGTACTGGCTCTGATTTGCCAGAGCCTTCTGGAGCGTGAGATGTTCTCTGGGAAGCAGTGGGTAGATCAGGGCTATGCATTAAGCTATGTGGCCGAACGCATCAGGGTCTTTCAGGGCATATATATATTTCTGATAACCACAGTTCTATATTCCGCCATCAGCATTTATATGGATGTATGGCACACGGGCGAAACGGGCGGCAGACGACGCAAACACATATCTGTGCCCACGCACAGCGGCGACTTCACCTACCAGGACCGTGAGGATAGCTTCCTGCCGCAGGGCCCACAGCCGGTTGGAGTGAAGGCAACCAAAATCTATGAGGTGGAACCGTCGCATCGACGTTTCAAGATCAAAATAAAGAAGCTGTGCAAACGATATGCAAACAACCCTCGTGGTGCCCTCAACTCATTCACATGGAATATCTACGAGAATGAGGTTACCGTACTGATGGGCCACAATGGGTGTGGCAAGACGACTTTACTCAAGATACTTGCTGGCCTGGTGGAGCCGACACGTGGCGTTGTCATGGTATCCGACTTTAATATACAAACCGAACGGCATGATGCGTCTTTGCAACTCGGCCTGGCACTGAACGACGATCTACTTTCACCGGACCTAACTGTCAACGACCAGATTCGTTTCATATGCATGGTTAAAGGTATCTCGTGGAATGATTCCTCCGAGGAGATTGAGCTATATACACAGATGTTACAGTTAACCAACGTCAGGCATACCAAGATAAAAAACCTGACCGCAAAGGAGCGAAGTCTACTCAATATTTGTTGCGCCTTTGCCGGTGGCAGCCCCATTATTCTCATCGACGATATTCATTCTGATCTGGATCTTATCACACAAAATCTCATCTGCAATCTCATCAACGAAGAGAAATTCAAACGCACCATTCTCTTGGTGTCCAATTCAACAGCGCTAGCCAGCCACCTGGCCGATCGACTGGCTATCATGTCCAATGGGGAGCTCAAGTGCACTGGAAGCAAACCTTTTCTGCGTAATATGTACGGACATGGTTTTCGTCTGGTAAGGAAATGTTTTTACAACACTTTTATCATATTGCACAACTACTTCAGAAGCCATTTTATCTACACCCTATGATTGGGCATCCATGCAGTAATCCCTTAGTGTTCCTTACGTTCTTATTCTCCCTTATAGTTCTGAGCACGAAAAGGCAAGAAAATGAATGTACTAAAGGAGTTTATTTTGTTCATTTCTCTGTCTATAATTTATATATGCATATTAACTCATCAAATGCCTCGTAGAAGCCCTTAGTCCGTTTCTCTGCCAGCAGGCAGAGTCACACTCAAAACATAGCTATGATATTTATGTATTTCAGTTCTGATTTCATTATTCGTCTCAATTTCGTAGACCTGCATTAAAGGTAAAGATTTTGATTTATCAGAGTTGCAAACTCTGTTAAGCAAATATCTACCGAATCTGACAGTGGAAAGTGATATTGGGAATAAAATCACATATGTGCTTGAGACCAAGTACGAGGATAGATATCCCAACCTGTTTGATGACCTCGAGGACGAAATGGTAAATCTAGACATAATCAGTTTTCGCATACGTGACACGTCATTGGATGAGATCTTCTTCCGCTTTGGCTCCGAGGATGGAGATATCAGCGGAGAACCGGCGATATTGCTAGACGACTTGAAAGTAGTCTACGAAGACTCGGACAGTGTTGGACGTGTCAAAGGAGGAAAGCTTACCAAAATGCGTATACTGGCCCTGTTTCAAACGCGCTTGATACTGAATAAACGTCAAATTCCCATGAAAATCATCCACGCCTTGGCTATATTAATAGCCGCCATATGCACCTTCTCCTCATTGATTTTTTTTGGGAAGGACTATCAGCTCGTGCCAATGTCCTTCAATTTAACTCAGATACGTAATATTGATGCATTTGTGGAAATGATGTCAAGTAGTCTGGATGTACTTGAAATGCAGGAGTTCTTTATAGAGCTACTCTTCTGGTATGATGGTCATGTTAAAATACTAAAGACAATGATCGATTCGGAATTCTATTTACTACTGCAAACCGATTTTAATCGAGTTGTTAACTATCGCTACATATTCGGTGCTTCGCTTGACACGGACATTATAACCGTCTGGTATAACAATATACCACTTCATGCCGCACCGTATGGCCTCAATTTGGTTCACAATGTTGTTGCACGGTAAGTCGCTTAATTGTTGTCCATACTTCTCATTAGGAATGGATAAAAAAGTTATCTAAATAAAATGTACACATTAAAATCTAAATAATTATCAAATGATGATCTGTTGACGCTCTGAATAGTGAGACTTCAGGAGTATACATACATAGATCTACAAATAATCTGTCTGCATTCTATAGACCCTTAACTCATATACCCAACGAGGACTTAGGGTATATCCTCGTTGACTAGATAATTAATGGTTTGACTTTATAATACAGATCACATAATCTGCAGTAGTAAATAGTAAAAAACCTCTAGTCGAGACTTCTCGACTACTAGATCCCCTGGACCCTTCGAAGAATTGATATTTCGCGTCTTTCTGCATAAGAACTTAATTGTTTAATAACTTTTCTTGACGATAGGTTTTCTTCATGAAACTTTTAGATCGTGACTATAACATTAAAATGCGTGTATGTGCCAAAACACTGTACATACATACATTGAAATATGCCTTTTACAAATTTATTGGTGAGGGGGTGGGTAAAGGGGTCGTCTAAAGGTGTAAAAGATATAATTAAATAACTATTTTTCGATATACAGGACGAACAGATACACAGACAGGGCTAAATCGACTCAGCTCGTCGCCCTGATCAACAATATACTTACATATATATGTATATACTTTGTGGAGTCTGCCACGCCTCGTTCTTCCTGTTACACACTTTTAACGAAACCATTATACCCTGATTTCCCATTGAAAATGGGTTCAGCATATAATAATAGTATTGCTATATGGGAAGTATTGAATTAATAGCCGCATTACAGTAGGTAACAGTGGGATACTTATTTATGAGGAATTTAATTATGTTATGTTACATCTCTTTCCCACTGTAGACGCTTCTTCAACGACGAGGCTTCAATCGATGTGACATTAGAACCGCTGCCATTTCAAGCCCATGTGAATGCATTGCCACAGACACCGTTTTCTTTGGGCACGATGATGGCCATAAATTTCTCGTTCATATTTAGCAATCTGTGGATGAGCGTTGCCATTTCTAGCATAATGGACCATAATTTCAAGAAACAGCAGTATCTCACCGGAATGAGTCTAACCGTCTATAGCTTTTGTATGTTTGTCTTCGATTTTATACGGGTTGTATTGTTGACTCTGATGATAGTARTAGTAGTATCATTCTACTTTAATCCGCGACACGATGTGCATTTATATTGTCAGTATAGTGGTTAAACGATCAATGGATCCTTAGTTAGTCATCGAAAAATTCTTCCTTCCACAGGCTGGATTTTTCTCGCACACGCCTTCAATGGTTTCTCTGTGGTCACATTATCCTACCTGCTCGGTGTCTTGCCCATCGAGCCTAATAGTGCATTTATTGCAATATCAAGCTTTAATGCACTGGGTATCATCATGTTCATTATAACTGTCAGCGACTATCTTGTCGATATGAACGGTATTTTCCAGCTGCTTCCCCAATACACGTTCGCTGAGGTGATTTTCAAATTGGTTTTCCTGTATGAGTATGACTTTCTCTGTAAGGACTCGAATATCAACTTCCTATCGACGGTGGTGGAAAAGTGCAAAGTATTACCAAACTGTTGCAGTTGAGTACCTTAATCCCTCGTTCATACTCAATCAATGAACATCTCCTGATCCACAGCCGAGTACAATTACTGGAGTGGTAACTTTGGTGTAGTCATTGATGTTATCATGATGGTAGTCGCCGTTGTCGTGCCGCTAGTTATTTTTCTTGTGATAGAATACTATACGCTAATGAGATGCAAATGCCAGACAGTACCGATGATGAGCAAGCGGAAGCCTAATCCGAGCGAGTCGCGCATAGATCGTCAGGCCCCCCATAAAGTGGACGAATCGGTTCTTACCGAACGAAGTCTCATAGAGAAGCTTAAAGACAATGAACGATCAAACTATGCTGCCATCTGTCACGGAATAGGCAAAAGCTATGGCAAAAAATTTGTTTTAATACGTTTTGATCTAATTATACCCCAGTAAGTTGCACACAAATATTCTTACGCTAATGCTCCGTCGGCCTCTAATCGGAACATATTATATTTCCCAGTGCCGAATGCATTGGTCTAATGGGATACAACGATTGCGGTAAGACGACTATTGCCAAAATGATTATTGGTGACCTACAACCGTCGTATGGACGGATATGGATTGGGGGCTACAACACACAAAAGGAACGCGCCAAGTGCTATCCTTTGTTGGGCTATTGCTCACAGCATGAATCTCTGCCGAGAGACTTTACGCCATACGAACTGCTGATCATTCAGTCGATGATGCACGGAGTGTCCAAAAAGCTTGCCACTCCAATATGCGAGGGACTGTCACATTTGTTGGGCTTCCAAAGCTGTTACCGTCAGCTGCTCAAACTCTGCACCACCGGGCAAATAAGGCGCATAGGGTTCGCTCTAGCCATTTTGGGTGATCCGATGTTAGTTTGCATAGATGGACCACCTGGTGGCATTGATCCAAATGGCAAGCGTACCCTGTTCAGTCTGACATCCTATATGCAAAGTCGTGGCTGCAGTTTCCTGTACTCGAATCTCTCGGCTTTGGACTGTGAGCGACTGTGCCAGCGCGCTCCGATTCTATATGATGGTAAGGTATGGACGGTTGGCTCACAGAGAGAGCGCTATAGACGCGGTTATGAGCTGGAGGTGCGCTTCAAGCGTAAGGCTAATGCCGACATTAGCACGGCAAGAAGCACCTGGGATCGCATCAATAAGTTTCCGGTTTCGCCTCACAACAAATTGATTCTTTTCGTTCAAATGAAATTTCCTGAGGCAATTTTACAGTAAGTACTGGGAAGTATATTGCTTTTATACAGAGGTCGGTTAACTAACTATATTCCTTTTAACCTCCAGGCAGCAGCACGACAATGCTATGGTCTACTATATACCACGCAATTCGATTAGTTTTGCAGAAATATTTCAGATCATACGCAAGGATGCGTTCGAATTGAATATTGAGGATTTCTATATAACCCGAAATATTGTTGGGGGCATGCACTCCCACCTATTTGACAGTACAATTCTTAGGGATATGAAATAACACAATTAATTTTTTTTAGTTTTTAGAGACGGCAACTTCGTCTTGCCCTCTCAAGTAAATTATGCAGTTTCTCTTCCTAATACTATATTTTAAAGTTTTATCAAAATTTACTTCAAATGATCATCCGATTTCAGCGATAGCGAAACATCAAAAGCTTAAAACAGAAATTTGTGTCATAATATTCAGTTGGCAAAGAAAGCGCAAAGTGTAATTTTAAAAATCCCGCAAAAGCTGCCAATTGCATTCATGTCCATGTTTACATTACATTTACAGCTGTCCAAATGTTAAATAACATGGCACGTACTTGTTAGCTGACAAAAGCTCTTTGCTTTAGTGGCATGCCTTATTAAACATAAAGCAGCCGCTACACAATAATTCTGTACTCAAAAATATAAGAGAATAAATGCAGTCGATGAAATGTGCACAAATATTTATTACATTGTATATTTTGTATATTACATTTTTATTCAATACATAAATTCTTTTGATGTATTTATGCAATCATCGTATCGAATACGTGATGTAATTTAAATAAATTCAATTTAAACTAGTAATTTACATTGGACTTTAACACACGTTTAGATGATTTTGCAATTTAACAATTTTGCTAGTTAGCGCGGCGCAGAAACATCACAAAAGCTAATAAATTATATTACTGTCCGTCCATAAAAATCACATACAGGCAAAGGTAAAAATTGTTTCTTCGACAATTAAAATTCTATTAATGTATACGTATGTATACAAGCCTATCGATCGTAAAAGTTTAACATATTAATAGGTCTATAGATGGGTACATTAAGTTCGTTAAGTTTAAATACTTAGCAGCCGCAACACTTTTGACGCAATCTGTGTTTACAAAGAGGAAAAAGTGGTTATATTCAATATATATTATACAACATAAATATTAAACAAATTCTAATAGTTAAGCTCAAGCTCTACAATTGAAGCCAAATACAAAAAATTACAATACTATTTATACTGCCCTGGTTAGCGTTGATCAATTAGAAAATTAGTTAATAATATTAAAAAAATAAAATAAAATAAAAAAAAGCTAGCGATTTAAGTTAGGTTCAAATGTTAATCCTTCGGCTTTTGATTTGTGACGTGTAATGAATGAAGTATGATATGTAAGCCACGAAAAAGCTGGCATTTGCTACAGCTCACTTTGAATGGCGCTCATCTGCAGCCTGAAATTTGGCAAATTCTAAAAATATCTCCTCCAATGTTGTCTGACTTATGGAATAATCCTCCACATGCAACTCTTCACGGTGGCTCTCTATAATACCAAAGATTTCGGACCATTTAAGGCCCTGCAATGGAATGTAAAACGTTAGCATGCCCTGGCACTCCTCCCTAAAATAAAAAAAATATATGTTACTATATAATAAATACTATGAAATGTAAATAGATAAGCTTACTGTAGAACAGACTCCGGGTACTTCTCTTGCACAAACGCTTTTACTTTATCATTATCCTGCTTTGCTATCATACCGTTATCGATTTCGATTACATTGCTGTTTTCCATAGATTTCAAATTGCTTGATTAAATTAATACATATATGTAGATATACCGAGTACTCACCCAGTCGACGGCAGGATATCGGCTACGCTACCCTTGTATGGGACGGGTGTCGGCGATACATGTTCATTGGAGGCGGTCGAAGTTCTTAAGGAATCGAGATTACTATCCATCTCGACATTTCTGACATCGTATGGAATGGGTGTGCTGTAGCCATCATTGAAGAGAGGCCCGCGTTTTTGAGCAGTTAAATTGGGTAGCATTTTAATTTTAAGTATGAAACCTTTGGAGAACTTGTTCTTCAACTGCTGCGTGGAGCCCATGCACATTAACTCGCCATTGACCATGATAGCGAGACGTGTGCACAAGGCTTCGCACTCCTCCATGCTGTGCGATGTGAGCACAATTGATGTGCCCGAGTCCCGTATACGACACACAATATTCCAAAGCTGACGCCGGGCAGCTGGATCCATGCCCGTGGTGGGCTCGTCCATGTAAACAACAGCCGGAGAGCCAAGCACTGCAATGGCTGCGCTCAGTTTGCGCTTGTTGCCGCCGCTATAGGCCTTCGTCCTCTTATCGAGATGCTTTAGAAAGCCAAATGACATCGCCAAGTCCTCGGACAACGGCTTAATGTTCTTTCTCCTAATGCCGCGCAGAAGGCAGAAAATCTTTAAGAGTTCTCGACCACTTAGGTTCTCGAGTACCGCATCGAACTGCGGACAATAGCCAATTCGCTTGTATATCTCATTTATATTCTCTTGCAGATCCCTGCCCTGAACATAGACATTACCCAGGCTAATATTCGTATCGCCTGTCAGCATCTTGAACGTTGTCGTCTTTCCAGCACCATTGACGCCCAGCAAGCCAAAGCACTCGCCTCTGAAAGACACACCAAGAAATTAATACACAACGCACGTCCATTCAAATTAGAGCTGCTTACTCGCTCACGCATAGCGACACCTGGTTGACAGCCAAGAACTTTCCATAATACTTGCAGACACGATCCAGGACTAGATTCTTTTCAGCTATCTCTTGCTGGCTCCAATTCAAAATGCGCCTACGCTCCTTATCCACATCGTCATCAACGTTAGTTCGCTCGGGCGGCATTGGGGGTTTTCTGCAAAGTCAATAGGAATACGAAGACAAAATTTTAAACAAATTTATATCCATTTTCATTTAACAAGGGTGAAACAGAACTTTACAATGCCACGATCATATGAGATATATACATACAGTGGAATCCGGTTATAACGACATTCAAGGGACCAACGATTTTACATCGCTATACCCGGAGGACGCTTAAACCAGAGAGACCAAAAAATATATGTTTTTCTCTGTTTTACGGTTGCCGCGTAATAGGCTTTGACATATAATAATTTAATTAAAACAAACAAACTTTAT